GAGTAATAAATGAGAGCATATGTAGTTGATTTTATGTTTCTTAAAGCCCATACATCTATGTAACCCAACAAATGAGTCAAAACTTGGATATTGCTACTACAAACAAACGTCAATGGGCCAAAACATTGGCCCAAATATATGGTCTAAAGGTTCTCTAGTATTCAATCATTTTCAGTAATTTGGTTATAAAACTTGACTAGAACAATATTCGTGTATTACACGGGTGTTTGTCAAAAAATTATTCACTTTTTACTTGTGCGACTTACATGTATTGTATTATAGTAATTCTTATAACTTATATCCTATAACTACTTGAAATATAAATATATTAATTGATAAATAATTTTATTTTCTAATTAATATTAAAAAATAATTTTGTTATTGTTATAAAGATAAATATAATTTATTTTTTTATACATACAATATGAATATTAAATCAAAGTTCATCAAGAGAGGATTAATTTGATATATTATATATGTAAAACTGATAAAAATACAAAAGTTATTAATTTTTAAAATACATTTACAATTCAATGGTTGTAATAAGAAATGATACTAAAATACAATTAATACATGTAACATGACCATATACAATCAACATATTTATGGATAATCCGGATTTGATAATTTTTGGATTAGAAGTAAATTAAAATCTACCCAAGCCTAATAACAAAGCATGAAAGTTTGCCACATAGAATCCCGAAACATGCGAACCTGCCACTTAGGCTCAACGTGTTCTGAATTAATATATAATAAAGGGGATATTGAAATATCATATTGTTCCCTGATTGTTTTCAGGAATAAAATCATCCCCTCCTTAAGCATAGTTATCCACAAACAAAACTGCAGTTGATTTAGCCTATAAATATCTGGGCTCGAAAGGTATATGCTATGCAACTAATAATAATAAATATGAAGAATATAAAGTCGAGTATCAAGTGAAAGAAAGAAACTTTACTATGACTTCTGTTCTGGTTTTATTTTGTATTGCGGACCAGGGTCCAAGATATATATCACCATAAACGCGTAACAAATATATAAAGACANAAAATATTATAGAAATAAATTAGAACCATTATAAAGTTGAACATAACATTTTCTTTGGACTTACATAGTCTGCTAAGGGGAAAACTTAACTAATTAAAGCATATAACACCCACACACGTAGGGCTACATATATCAACACGAGAAATTACATATCCAGACACGGTTGGAAAAATGTTAAAAACTGAGTGTCGACTACAATTGAAAACATATGAAATGAATTGATATTTTTCAGTTCTTACATTTTGATGATACAAAAAATAATTGACGTTAGTCCGAGGACACGTGACAGTGATGTATGCTTCGACGTCCTCCTTAGTGCGTCTCCTTTGCTCCGACGACTATAAAGTAGAACCCCGAGATTGTCCCCAGGGTAGATCCTGATGTAGTCCAAAGACACATGGCGGTGATGTATGCTTCGACGTCCTCCTTAGTGCGTCTCCCTTGCTCCGACGCCTGTAAAATAGAACTCCGGGGTTGTCCCCAGGGGTAGATCCTCCAATGCCTAAGTTAGAATCGGTTTTAGGTTAAGTGTGGCGGCTGTAGAGTATGAGTAGAAGAGAGTGTCTGTAGCCTTACCTTGACCTATATCATCCTTCTATAAAGGTCGGACGACCTAGGTCATCCCTATGCAGACGGAGGACTTCTCAGCCCACTAGCTTGGTGGATTATGGCCCACCAATTGGGTCACCTTTAGACCTTGGGCCTAAAGCAAGGTTCCTCGGGACCTTGGGCCTAAATTGAGGTTGGTCTTAGCATTGACCTTGGATACTAACGGTCCTCGGAATACACGTGCATTTATTCTCCCGATTCACGTATCGCCTAATAAATATATATTTTTTTCCTTATCACTTCCCCCATTTTATGTACGCGGTGATTTTTACGCGTACAGAAAATAAGCGATGAGACATTTAGAGATGAATATTTGTATTTGGTGACTTTCCAGTATTGTTGCACAGGTAGGCAGTCAAGCTACTTGCTATAAAATGTCTCGCTCTCATTTCTCTTCTTACTTTTAACATTG